TTTTTTAGTGGAACCAGAGATTGAACTCAGGCCCTTGCACTTGCTAGGGAAGCACTTATTGCACTGAGCCATCTCCCCGGCTCCTGAACATATTTTTAATATAGCATTCTCATGAGATTTTTAGGTGAGATACATGAGTTCCTAGCTATCAGCCAGTCTTTTAGAGGCACCTAGTGAAAGCAGTTAGCTATTTTCCAGGAATCTTTCGTTTTGCCATTGAAAATGTTTCATTCTGGTTCTCAGGGGCATTTCTTAGTGTCCCCTTTAGATCCTCTGAAGCATCCATGTGCTGTGCTGGGTCCGTCTGAGTCAGGCTGCACCCAGACTCCAGGTCTCTGGGCTCTGAGTCTGGACATGGGTGTGCTTAACCTGCTTCCTCATAATTCTGACGCATGCTCTAGGTGAAGAGCTCCACCCTAGGAAGCGGGCAGTAGTTTCCTGGAGAAGGCCTGGACCTTGGAGTTCTGAACTCTTGGTTTTGAAGAGTTGTCTAGAGTTAGATTTTGGAGCATATTACAAGGTTAAAGGAGGCAGCTCCCTCCAGGACAGGCTGCTGTGTTTTAAAGGCTTATTCTCAGGTTTAGTCTCATTGTTTCTCCTTCCCATTCAGGATGATGTGGAGTAAGTCACTAAATTCAGTAGGTGTCATTGGATAAAACCTGGGTACTTTAAGCAGCTACAGGATTGAAAAAGACGACTAAACTCTATCGTGTATGTGTACAAATTCCCTATGATGAATGTGATCATTATACCTAAATTGTGCTAATAAACTTAAACTTACAAAAAGCTGTAGGATAATGAAGGTGTCATCAGAGGCAGCTGATCTTGGCCTTGCAGATCCTAGATTCTTTTTTGAAATTGTGTCCAAGACACAGAGTAGCCTGTGTTCCTATTAAGCCATTGCACAATGTCTTTGGTAATTTATCTAGCTTTGGGCTGGAAGGGGGAAGGGCGAGACAGCATGCAGTGTACTTGAACATTTACAAAAGACCCATGCTCTGAGTCTGGAAGTGCTGCTTTTGCTGTGGAGTACAGATTCCATCTTGAGTGTCCTCTTGCCACGTGGCTATGAAACCAAAAGGCTAGGTGGGGGTGTCCCAGCCCACGTGTAGAACAAGATGTGGCCTGGGAGGTGCATGTAGCACCTTGCCAAGGTTGCTGGTGCAGCTTCGCTGGGATGATGGCACCTCTATCTCAAATGGACATTCAGTCTTCTCCTGGTGTGAGCTGAGAGTACTTCAGAGCTAGTGATTGAGAAAGAACTTGTATCTAGAGATGTGGGCAGTAGGCTGCATCTTTTCTTAGCAAGAAGGAACTTCCTTGACGAAGCAGCCTTGGGTTAGCCTATCACAAATGCCGCCATGAGACATAGGTCACCGTGTGCTCATTCTGGATCTGCTGGCTATTCTTTCCTATTTTCCTGTGTGCTCATTTGCTAAAGGAGCTACGGTGACCTTATCTTCTGGGAAGGAGAAATGGGAAATGAAAACGGCGAGAGTTTCAGCTTCCTCTAGTGTTTAGAACAAGAGAAGCTTAGCCAGGAGAGCATAGAGAACAACAGAGCTCTAATTCTGGGTTTTAGAGAAGGCCTACTTCCTGTCTTGATTTTATCCTTCTCTTTCCTTGTTCCTTGAATGTATTTTAGTGGTAGACACATATTACTCTGCTTGCATCTGTATCACAAGTCATAAAAGAGGATGGCCTCTGAGTATACTTTGCAGAAGCGTTAAGTTTTGTTATGGAGGAAATTGGTAAAGACTTCTGTGTAAGACTGGGAAAAGAAAATCATAATATATCCTGTTTTCTTTCATCAAAAGTGAAGGAGGAAACCTGAGAGAGATTTGAAAGACGACTTTAAAATTTATTAGAGAATCCCCTTCTATTTTTTAATTCTAATTTTCAAATTGAGATTCAGCTCTTTTTGGTATATATTTTTTTTTAATTTGGTAAAAGGATATTTTTACTTTGAGTTGGGAAATAAAATGAGAAAAATCTTAGGGGCCAGGGAGATGGCTCAGTGGAATAAGCACTTCCCTTGCAAGCACAAGGGCCTGAGTTCAATCCCTGGTTCTGAAAAAAAAAAAAAAAAGAAAAAAGAAAAATCCTGAAGAAACATGCTTTGTTTCTACAAGAAACAAATATTCACCTTATATCATTGTCTGTAATTGCTGTTGTTTCCCAAGATGTGAGAGTTGGGGATATAATTTGTTCGTGCTCTTGGACCAAATGGTTGAATGCTTTGGCAATCTTGCTTTGATCTTCAGACTTTGGCATTTGAAGAAACACACACAATTCCTTTTTAGAAATATGTCCATTCCCAGTATCAAAAAGTCCATCTATGGGTCCAAGATCTGGGTTCAGAGAAACTGGTGTGTGGGGTAGCCTGTCATCAAGGGAAACTGGCCCGTTAGGAGGGCCATGGTAGCTGGGTAAAGTAATGGTGTGCACATTCTGTTGTCCTGCCTGAGCCTGTGAGCTGTGTTGCACTGTATGCCTTTTGAGTCTTGAACATTTAAAAAAAATATTTTTATTTAAAAAAAACTTGTAATTGAGTCATGTTGCAACATCAACTAGGTCTTTGACTTTCCCTGGAGGTGACAGGCATTAGAAGTGTGTCCAGGAATTGAATTCAAACTTGTGTCCAGAGGACTTTCTCTAAGAGGGGTCTGTAAACCAATATTCTGCTATTATCTCATTGTCCCGAGTGATAGTATATGCACATTACTGTAATTCTGACTCCTGTGTCCTACAAAGAAAAGATCTAAACACTCCACCTTTTTTCTTTATGGGGAAGTTCTAGGTACAATGACTTGCATAGTAGTAGCCAGATTCTTACGTTTCTGTACAAGATGTCAGTTTTACTTCCCTTGTATGGTGTCTTGTGCACTCAGTTAAGGGAACACCTGTTCAGAGCCTGAACTCATGCCCTCCACGTGGAGTCATCCTGTGTGGTCCCCTGGTTCAGGGCAGGGCTTTGCTTTCACCATCCATTCCCCAACCTTCTGTGTCCTGCCCTCACCCTGTTGTGGAATGTAGCGTTCCAGTGGAGAGTGCTGCTGTTTTTAGTCTGCTATGTATTTGGCTTTTATTCCTAATCTAAGAAGTAAAACTGCAAAGGAAATCTTACATTCAAAAGCTGATGTTAAGAGTGGGCAAAAGTAAACCTTTATCTTTCCAGTAAACCTTCCACTGGACACCTGTGACCAATATCTACCTGCTTACGGTTTTTGTATCTGAATTGCTTATATACATTCTTTTAAATGTTGAAATCACAGGATCAACTCATTGTGATATGGTGATGGATTTTCTCTGATAGAAGCAAAGGACTGATCACAAATAGTGCCCTTTGGAAGGCACTGGAGTGGGGATGGGCCTTACTGGTGTGAATGGAAATGGCTGGGTTGGGAAGCTTGGGAACAGAAGGGTACCACAGATTTTCTCAGCATGGGTCTGTTGAAAGTAGGAGCATAAGTGTTCAGCAAATTCAGATTTTGTCAGTCCATGACACAACGGACTATTTTACTCAGATCCACTTATGTGTGTACAACTGTATTTGAAATGTGTTTGGGTGTGTGTATGTGTAGAATGGGCAAATAAAGTTGTTGAGTAACTTGAACCTACCAGAAGGCTTCTGGATTTTTTGTTTTGTACTTTGGGTTGTGTCTCCCACCCTCTCCCTACCTCTAAACTTTCCACTTGTATTTTACAGCAACTGAGACTTGGGCAGGCCAACATGTTTTCAGTGTGATTTGAGTCCGTGGTGTAGGAGTGGCTCTCTGTCACCCCCTCCTGGGCAAGATTGGAAGGACACCATGGGAAATGTCAATTCCATTAATCTTTATACTGTTGTGGCCAATACGAGAATTAAGAAAAAAATTACACTTGATTTGTATGGTACCATGACTCCAATTAGCTATGTATAACTTGTTATAAGGAGAGCTTTTCAGACCTCATAGGATTTAGTGGGCTGTCAAATACACCATGCCTGTTTCTTTCTTTTTCTTTTTTTTTTTTTTTTTTTTTTTTTTTTTTTTTTTTTTTTTTTGCGGAACCAAGGATTGAACTCAGGCCCTTGCGCTTACCAGGAAAGCGCTTATTCTACTGAGCCATCTCCCTGTCCCACCATGCCTGTTTCTAGAGAGATCATAGCCAGTGGCATAAAATGGTACTTAACCTCAGAACAGGAAATACACGTGGCCATTTTTCTCCTTTCTTGTGCCTTATTCCTTATTATCCTAACAAGGGCCAAGAACGCATTAACAATCCAGAAACTCGGGCCTTATCCCAGAACAACTGAACCCGAGCCTTCATTTTAACGGGATTACCTACCGTGTGATTCCCCAGGCAGATGTAACGTTTGAGAAACCCTGTTCTAGGGGGAAGAGTTTCTCCCAATGAGAAACTCTTAAATGTCAGCTCATGGTAAGAAGTTGATCTCCTTTGATGACTGACTTCAGAGTGGAGTGGGGTAGGTACGTCACCAGTAGGCAGCCTCCTCAGAACCCACGTGGCCCCCGACTGCAGTGTCACTTTTGGCATGGTCTTCTGGCCGACATCGCTTGCATGCTGTTTCTACCACAGCCTCCTGACCACTTCTGCTTCCTATCTTGAGTCTGTAGCTTATGGTTCAGGACTGAAAGAAGTGCCTGTCCCAACATGGTCACAAGTTTGGCTTCTCGAGGAAAGAAGCCCATGGCTGTAACATTAGAGTTTGCCTGGCTTCCCAGAGTGGAGGCGTGCGTGCAACCAACTCAGTCAGCCCATGCATGTGTGTG